GGGTGGGCAGTGTGTGGACAGAGGGCGTAGTTCAGGTTCATGCACACCCATACACTGTCTCTGCAGTCCACATCTACTCGACCACTGTTCAGCAGCAGCTGCAGGAGAGCCAGGTTCCCCTTCCTCGCTGCCCAAAACACAGCATTGGCAAGCGGCGTTTCCTTCTGCCCAGACACAGGAGAAACAAAGACAGCAAGTGAATAAGAGCACGCACACACCAGGTGAGAATACAAGCCCCTTACTTCATGACCAAGACAATAACAAAACAAAACAAGGAAACACGGAGAAGAACCAAGTCAACAAAGGGATATACAGTTTAGTAGAGGTAAAAAACAAATCAATTCTTAACCTGCACCAATCTAGTCAAGAAGCTGCCGCAGTTTACTGGATGTGGGAGTTTGGCTGCTTTAACTCTCTTGGCAAAACACAAAAATGTCTATGCTGCACATACCTGTAAATGGATGTTGTAAACAGGGCTATCAAGAAATACATAAAAGGGCTTTTCAATAGCTAAGGGACGAAGAATTTCCATTGTAAGACATACGTTTGTCCACTGCAAAATGATATTAAGGCCGTGGTACATGCAGTCTGGCAGCTGCACACAGTCTCCAGATCTGTTCAGCAAGAATCGCCGTGGCAGCAGCACGTCAGATCTGACACAGCAGAAATCGGGGACACACGCCTAGTCATGCTCACACGGACACTCAGCTTCACCCAGGGCAGGCCTGTGTACTCACGAACAAGCACAGTAATGGTGGTAGTGCTGTACCTACTAAATTATTATTTGAGAGGCTCTTATATAACTTTCATATGCATTCATTGGAATCTTCTACTGCAAATGCAAACTGAGCCAAAGATCCTGGAATGAATAGCACATCTTTACATTTTTTTAAGTACGGGGCAGTTGAGAAATTATGGTTTTAAATTGTTAGCCCCACTGTGCGGATTTAACTAAAAAGGTTATTTTCCCTTGTAAGTGATTTGAGATTTGTTGATTAAAAATTGCATCTAGTGTAACTGAAAGACTAAGCTTTTGTTTAAATAAGTCTGCGACGCAAATAAACGATTGGTGTCGAACAGCTACAGACAATTGTTATGAAGCACTGGACGTAAATATTCGCAAGAGCAATCCTGACTTCTTGTGTAATTACAAGAAGGTATGAGCTTAATCTTAATCAGTCCAGGTCAATTGTACCACCTTTCCATGCTGTACTCCTTAAAGCTGTAGAACAGGCCACAGTAGAACAGCAGGACATTGAAAGAACACTAGAAAGGGAATACAGGCTGAAGCTAGATTATTGTTCTAGCTTCTCTGTAGCGTTTTTAGGTTTATAGTTATCAACGGGGCAAAACAACCACAGATACTGTAGGTAAACACATGGATTTATATATCCTAGAAACTGTTTTGACTGTCAGATGATTGCGTGAATCTTATTGCCTTGAAACATGTCTATTTAAACTAATGATTGTCTATAATGTATTTTACAGCTTCCTTTCAATCAGACGGTCTGACATCTTCAGCTCCCGTACTGTATGTTATGGAACTGAGAAAAGAGCCTATTTCACCACATCTTTTTATTAAACAATTCATAATGTTAGAATAATACTGACATCGTATTTGTAAGTGCTGATTGACATCTTTACATGATTAGTCGTGAAAGATACGTTCACGTACTTTGGTAATATAATGTAACATAATTTCCTATGCGACTATACAGTACGCGACTATTCTTTTTTCTTTCCCTGGTCTTGCGCTTTTTTTACATGACGTCAGGCATTAATCTGCAAAGTAACCTCCTGAGTTTATCGTGGTCACACCAGGCGGTTACAATATCTCTCTGCGAAATGAGCACATAAAACTAAGCCCCACTTCAAAATCCGTTTATTTCACAAATACCTAACCTTCGGCTTTAAGGGCATCCCGGCACGATTCACGCGTGGCTCCGTGCAAGCACTGAAGGGCAGCGGGCAGATCCCATTAACAGGAAGGAGTTTACTGCGCAGTGATCCAGCGGCAGTTAAAAATACACATCAGCATCCCAAAACGAACGAAATAAGAAGTGTCTGGGTCCACAAAGTTAGGCGCACGGAGTGTAAACATGTTGTTAATTACTGTAATTATAACGACGCACATACAGTACACACATACAGTATAATGTGTCTATACATGATTTACACCATCCATAATTTAAAAGATAAAAACCGTGAAAACCGCAGTTTACCTTGAAGGACATGCTGCAGAGATCTCATTCGACAATCATCTGAGATTAATGCACGACCAGCGACCAGGCTAGGGTGGGTCTCGCCCTGCAGACTTCCCGGCTGTTTTCGGCTGGGAAGCCAGCCCCGAGCTCTGCTCGTGTCGTTGCAGGCGCTGGAGGAGATAACCGTGACCCCCGCAGCCAGGCAGGCACTGCAGTGCCGCTCACAGCAGCATCCCGACGTCTCAGCTGCGCCGCCGACTTGGCTCCGGCGCCCTGACGCGCCGCACGGTGGGGACCAGGCAGGTGCCACAGGCTCGGCCAGGACACCGAGGCGCTGCCCTGCTCTCGGTCCGGCTGCGTGGGTAGCCTGAAACACTGAGCATGCCGGCTGCTGTGTTATTCACGGGCTTGGCTTGTCGTCATTGGCATTGTTTCGTTATTAGAGCGTTTCTTCCTGAGAGGACGTGAGGAGATGGGAGACACCGGGCAGGTACAAAACTAAAAGTTTGACGTCCTTAGTTGTCTGGTGAAGGACATTTATCTACAGTTCCATGACAGCGTAAAGCGATGTGATGAGCTACTGTATCATTCACCGCATTGAATGTGTTACTAATGTCATACTTTACAGCAGCTCCCTTGTGCAGAAAAGAAGTCGTAATTAGGGGGAAAAGAAACTCCTACCTATGACTTTTTGAGGGCACATTTTGTTTCTTTCCTGGTGGCATCAGCACGCTGCCCTACACACTGGCCCTCGGTCTCCATAGGGGGGGGGGGGCGAGGGGGAGAGACGGGATGAGAAGAAGGCAGTTCAGGCTCATGGCCGGGGTAATTGCCCTCGCTATCACAGAAGGGCAACTGGGCACGGCGCAGGAGAATAGCTGGGGAGGGCGGAGAGAGACACAGGCGTCCGCGGGAAGCTCACCAGGAGACCGAGGGAGCGCAAGAGCGCCCCCCTGCTGGCACTATTGAGCCTAGCAGCAACAGAAAGGGGAGAGGTTAGAGGACAGTCCAACACCCGGGGGGTGGGGGGTGAGGAACACGACGCCCCCCAGTTCCCTCTCCCCTGAGAGGGACCTCGAGATCCCCAGCGCAGCGGGGATGTTGTCTGGCGGGGGGGCTGGAGTGCACGGGGGGCAGCTGGTCTTGCAGAGACGAGGGAGGCCCTGCCGTCATCAACTGGCATGGGGACCATCGAGCTCGGGGCTGCTGCCCCTGTCCCAGACTCCCTCCCCACTCGGCCAGCTGCACAGTGGGGCCCTGGCTCCGGAGGGGACTCGCGGGGCCGGTGCTGGACACTGCCCTGGGGTTGTCCCGGGGCTCTGCATCACCTTTGCCTTCTGCGGGAGGAGAACGGGGGCGAAATAAGGGGAAAGGGGAGAGGGAAGAGGTGATGGGACAGTCACCGTTAAAAATCTCCAAATCTTTTAAATAAAATACTTTAAAAGAGTGAGAGGAGTGTAAATTGGTAGCTTTGACTCTTTTTCATATATCCCTTGAAAGTGCATAAGAAAAATCCCTGTATTTGTTCTAACATGCCCTAGTAAAGAAAATATTTACTGGAACATAATGTGTTAATAAGCTTAAAGTAAACTTAACCTTTAGGACAGCAACTGATACTGTTGAACACCGAAAGTATCTGTGCTTTTTACACGTCAGTTTGAAAATCTCGAGTTACAGCCATGCTCATTCTCCAGTAGACATCAAATCGTATTTTTATAGTAGTGAAGGAAACATCCTAACTCAAAATACTGTGCTGTGTCCAGATAAGGTATGGCAAGTTAGTACAGGTATCTTACTATTGCTCTGCAATATCACGTGAAGCGCCATCTGGTACACTGGTCTATGAAACATATAGCTTGTGTTTTAAACCCTTCACACGATCTCGATGTGATCTGACTGCCACAAACCAAATAGAAAGGACTGAGTGCTATTCTGGACAATGCAGCTTGAGAACTTAAGGTTCAAGTGCACACATGGCACACTTTGACAACTGCTGCATCACCTCGGTGTGACATGTTTGCATGTGATGTGCTATAAAATTAGCGGGTAACAAACTGGAGTACGAGTCTTGCATGCAATGCTAATCTTACCTCAACAGTTGTGCAGTCCTTCACTGTAATGACTGTTTTCATGAGGAAGGCAGAAGTATTAACTGTAATGCAAAAAATATTAAGCCTAAGACGGAAAAAAATAGATGCTTATTCTCTAGACTAATAATTCTATTATAAGGCCTGAACTTCTATGTATGTCTGTTTCTCCGGAACATTTTTAGGTGACTTCAACCAGCTCATTACTACCTAGCAGTAAAATAAGGGATATGAAATTTGTACCATTTTGCTGATTCACAATGTGAATTAGGAAGCACTTCTTGCCTGGGAGTTTCAGACATGAACACAGGCATATTTTTAATACAAGGTAACTGCAATTGTGAATATTTCCTGACAGACTTGACATTATTCGTCAGATGCTTTAGTTAATTTTGGGTAGAGTTTGGGACAGAGGGCACTGCGGCAGTTGTTAATTATGTGTACAATAACCACAAGCGCCCACACTGTCAGTGCTTGCTCTGACAGCAGAGCAGATCATTTTCTGCAAAAGCAGCTTAGCTTGATTCGCCAAACGTGGAGTATTTCTTAAAGTGCAACACTAGAGGAAAATAGACGCGTATAGGAGAGGAAACCCGAGAAAAAACATGCTCTTTGCCTTTTTTTTGCAATAAAGCTAAATATGTGAACTTTAAGTTTTTGACTTAAGTGTAGTGTAAGTGTGCTATGTGGCGCATGAACATTTTTTGGGAGGGGATAACTTTGGAGAATACTGGAGGAAGAATTTTAGTGTATTACTGAAATGATGTATCTGTAACACACTGTGGAGAGGGGTATCATAGACAGGAACATCAACAGTCAAAAGTAAAACAGATGTAGGGTAAAGAGAAAGTGCTTTTATTTACAGTGTGACGCAAAAATAAGAAATTCAGCACATCCAAACAAATGCATAAGTATCTTTTTGACCTTTTAACTAGCTTTCTTGAAAGCCCCCTCTATAAATTCAGCCAGACAACTAAGCAGCTTACCAGCTCCAAAACAAAAGACTCTGTATTTGAAACTTTAATCACCTTTGTTCACTTGCTCTCTCCTTCTAGTGTTGCTTGCATGGCAGAGAGTCTGTTCTCTGTCACCCAAACAGCAGATAACAGACTGAACCTGGAAGACTCCACTTCCTGGTTTTTAAACTGTTCTCTGACCAATCACCTTCTCAGAATTGGTCAGATGACCACATTTCCCAGGGAGCGATGGGGGATGACCTGCCATCTTCTGCCATCTGACCAGTAGGAGCAAGATAATTAGTTAAGTGACTTGTAAACCAGGAAGCTGAGACTTTTAGGTGGGCTGTTGATCTCTGCTGCAGAAGTAAGCAGAACCTCTGTCCTGTGCTGCACCAGAGGAGAAGGCACCAGAAGGAAGTGACTGAAGAGTCTTGGACAGAGACTGACTTTAGTGAAAACGTTTAGTTGCCCAGTGTGTGTGGAATCATACAGAGCCCTAAAACAACAATAAGGCATTTTGTGATTTAAATGTATCTCGTTGTACAATGTGCCATGTACTGTATAGTGGAGAGCATGGCTCAGTTTGAGGCCTTTTGGGGAAAAAAAACAGTTGAGGGTATAATTAAACAGAGGGTTCAGTCTAGCAGTAAACAGATGATCCAGTCTAGCAGTAAACAGTTCCATGTTACAGAAACAGCATCAAAGCAGTGCCTTGTTGCAAGGAAAATAGAAGCAATTGAAGGCAGGAAGCCTGACAAACAGAATGAAGAAAAGAGGAGAACTGTGGATCTGATGATTTCAATGTGCGAGTTCCTGGAACTCCCTCCACAGGCGACGAGGTAAAGAAGGTGGGACACTGAACTCTCCACTTTAATTTATGTTCCAGTTCAGAATATGAGAAGGAAAAATAAGTTCTGTCCTCAAAGAACTGTGGAACGGGGAGAATTACAAACTTTTGCAGAACTCAGAAAACTGCATCAAGGGCGCAACAAACTGGTTAGTGGGGTGACTTTTGGCAGACAACATCGGAAACGGAGCTGTTCCGGCCCCAAGAGCTCCCGGAGGTGAGGGTGGAGGAGCTCCTATCACCAGCGGAGGATGAGGAGCCATGGACTGAAGGACGAGTTGCCCTTCCCATCATGATCAGAGTCGGAGAGAAGACTGCAGGGTAGAAAAGCCCGTCCCCCAGCCCGTCTACACTCTGTGGGTGACAGGGCCTTCTCTTGCTACGCCTCAAAGCTCTGGAACTCTCTCCCCAAGGATATCAGAGAGTCACCTTCCCTATACGCCTTCAGATCGAGAGTTAAAACCTTCTTCTTTAGAAGAGCCTTTACTGAACTGGTTCTGTTCTTTACCCTCACTGCTCCTGTTGTATTTAGTACTGCCATCTACTGTCTCCCCTCATTGTGCATATCTTGTGTATTTTTCTTATTGTTGTTGTTCTGTAAAGTGCTTTGAGAAGCCACCTTTAAAGGCGCAATACTAAACAAAGTTTATTATTATTATTATTATTATAGAAGAACAGCCAAAAAGTCTAGTGATGGAGAGGCTTCAGCAGGAAGATCAGGAAGAACGGTCACTGCCACCCTTGGCAAGCGACTGGAACTGGACTGTCAATAGTGGAAAAAAAGGTGGATCTTCCAGATCTCCCCAAACAGGTAAAAAGGAGAGGGCGGGTTTGCTAGAGGTCCAGGCAACTGAGGAAAAGGGGCACACCCTGCCTGATCAGTGTCAGAGACCCTATAGGTAGAATAGGAGGATCCTTATGCGTGACCGGAATCCCACAGAATACTGAGTAGCAGAGGGACGATCCAAAAGGCGAGATCCAAAGGCTAGGTCGATAAGGGAGGCAAAGTGTCCGGTAACGAGAGATATCCAAAACAATCCAAAAGTCAGAATCCAGAAGGTGAGGTCACAAGGCGGAAGCAGAAGGTTAGCAACAGGAGATCGGTCAAAAGACTGGGAAACGCTCACTGGAGAATACTGCAAGAGACTTCTCAATAGTGAGCGTGGGAAGGTGTGTGAGGGGAGTTTAAATACTGAAAGGAAAGGGGTGTGATTGGATGATTGGTTAAGGGAGTGAGAATTTGAGGAATCTGGTGCATGTGGTAGGTTCAATCAGGGATGAGATTGTGAACCAGTGGTTCTGGGAGTGCAACGGCGTTTGCGAGGGAGAGTGTGGGGTGTGACAGGGATAAAACGGCGTTTCCGAGGTAGAGTGTGGGGCGTGACAATCAGACCTTGTATTGAGAGAAGAGGGGCAGGATGGCAGGACGTTACTACATCAGGAAGAGCAGGTGTTGCTGCAGCCTTCTGAGTGCGCAGAGGGGAGAACACGAAGTGGTGCCACAGAGCGAAAGATGGCAGCTCTTATAGCCAGTGGTGCGGAAGAGGGGCTGGCTTGCACCAGAAGTCAAAGATGTAGGAATGTGATGGGTTCATGGCACAGGGCTTCCTTCCAGTTTGTCTACTCCT